AAATTAAGTGTGCCTGCTTGTTCTCTGCGTGAGCTATTAGTGCGTGAATCTCATAGTGGTGGTCTTATGGGTCATTTTGGTACATTGAAAACTTATGATGTTTTATGTGAGCATTTTTATTGGCCTAATATGAAACGTGACATAGAAAATGTTTGTTCTACTTGTATTGAGTGCAAAAAAGCAAGTCTAAGTCACAACCACATGGGTTATATACGCCTTTGCCTGTACCTACCCGCTCTGATATCTCAATGGACTTTGTTTTGGGATCACCTAAATCTCAAAAAGGGTGTGATTCAGTTTTTATGGTAGTTGATAGGTTTTCTAAAATGACACATTTTATTCCTTGTCATAAATCTGATGATGCCAAGCATGTAGCTGATTTATTTATGCATGAAATTGTTAGATTGCATGGTTTACCTAGAACTATTGTGTCTGACAGAGATGTTAGATTTTTGAGCTACTTTTGGAAACTTTGTGGGGGAAAACTAGGTACAAAATTGTTGTTTTCAACAACTGCTCATCCTCAAACGGATGGCCAGACGGAGGTGGTTAATCGGACTCTTGGTTCTTTGCTTCGTGTTTTGATCCAAAAGAATCGTAAGAATTGGGAAGCATGTTTGCCCATTGCTGAATTTGCATATAATCGTGTTGTGCATTCTACTACCCAACATTCTCCGTTTGAAATTGTTCATGGATTTAACCCCTTTCGACTTGTCTCCAAAGCTTGTTTCTGAGTATCTTAATGCAGATGGAGCCAAGAAAGCTAAGTATGTACGTTCTCTTCATGAGAAAGTACACATGAATATTTTGAAGAGAAATGATATTCGAACCTGGTGATTGGGTTTGGGTTTATTTAAGGAAGATTCAATTTCCTACAAAGGTTAAATCAAAGTTAGATCCTCGTGGAGCTGGTCCTTTCCAAGTTGTCAAGCGTTTGAACAACAATGCTTATCAACTTGACCTTCCTGGTGAATGCAACGTTAGTGCAACTTTTAATGTTTCTGATTTATCTCCGTTTGATTTCTTAGATGCTGAAGTTGTACAAGCTTTTGATTCGAGGACGAATCCTTTCGAGGAAGGAGGGAATGATGTGAACATCACTGGTGATCAAATCCAAGATGATCAAGGTGTTCGGGTTCCAAATAATGTCCAAGCTCAAGGTGTTTCAAGATCCATTATCCAATATTGGAGGCCCAATGACTCGAGCTAGGAGTAAAAGGATGAATAGTACACTTAATAATCTTATATCAAATGGTTTGGCCCAAGAGAATGTTAAGTCTGGAAGTTACAAGTCCAAGATTATCAATATGTTACAAGGCCCATTTGAGGAAGGAAATTTCGGCCAACAAATCAAGCAAGGGAGGCCGGCCCTGTCTCCTAATTTTTAGGAGTTGGAATCTCTATCTTTTAAGGATAAAATCATTTAAAATCTTATCATACTTGTGGAAGGATAAGATTTGGAAGATTCCTTATCTTTTAGAGATAAGATCATTTAAATTTTATCACACTGAAGGATAAGATTTGATATGATTATCTTTTATCTAATTTAGAGTTTATTCAAAGTAAGAAGTCTATTAATTGGTGTCTACTCTCAACCGTTGGATGAAGATTAGATCAAGATTGGATGGCTATGATTACTCTACAAAGAAGATATTGATAGAGTTGACAACTCAGGAAGATTTTTTTCAAGATAAGAATAAGATTCTTTTGAGAGAATATCTCTTTGTATTTGGAGTTTTATTTTTATTAGACTAGTGTTTCTTAAGTCTATAAAGGTGTCTAGGTACATTGTCTTAATAGACAAGACACAAGTTATCAATTAGAGATTAAGTTGATTGCTAGTTCTTTAAAGTAGGAATAGAGTTAGAGATCAAACTCTTCTACTAATTAATAGGAGAATTTTTGGCCCCCTCTACTATAAATAAGGGTGCTTGGCCAGCATTTTATAGATATCTTTTGATGAATTTGATATTTCAATACAAAACGATAAGAAACTCTTTGTTCTTTTTCTATTCTTTTCGAAGACTAGTTGCATTGCACACAAGCTTGTGTTTTGTTGATGCATGCAAGTAGATTAGGTATTTTTCAACTTGTGGAGCTTTGTTAGTTGTTCATTGAAGCCTTTTCACTAGCCTTTCTATACATAAATCGAAGGGATAGGATTGTTAGCGAGGCGACCGATTGGGTTGCTAGCCGTAAACACTTTCTACATCACCTAAACCTTTCCATCCCTTTTTAGTGCAAATTTTTGTGGTTTGCATCTCTTCTTTTCTTTTAATTTTTGTGAGTTTTGGAGTCCATAATACTGGATTTGAAAGTTTTCAAGTCCTGAGATATTCATAGTTTCCTCGTCGAGGTAAATATGCCATTTTTACCTCAAGATTCGTATCAACATTGCAAGGAAGTAAAATGGATTCCTCCAAGTCCTAACTCCTATGTCTTGAATTCGAGTGGATCATCAAGTCTAGATGAAACAGGAAATGGGTTTGTTATTTGCGAAGAAGGAGGCATTTTTGTCTATGGATAGATTGGTTATTTAGAAGGGAGGAGATAGTTATATGGTTGAAGTTGCAGGGGCAGTTTTGGGTTTACGAAGGTGTGATTTATTGAGACTTCCTAATGTTTGCCTACAAACGGATAATCAGAGTTTGGCCAATGCTTTGAGAAATCCATTGGACTTTCCTTGGAAATATTATCACATGTTTCAGGAAATGTTCTCTATCATCCAGAGAAATGGGTACCATGTTGCTCATATATATAGAGAGGCGAATTCGGTTGCGGATAGCTTAGCTAAGCATCCTCTGGTTGTTCAGAAAAGCATTCATTTTTAGCTGCTTTGCCTAGTTATATAAAAGAATTATTGATCCGGGATTAGTCATCCTTCCCTTATATTTATAGCAAGTCTAAATGATGTAATATGGTATGACATATGCTCTAATAAAAACACATGGAGTGATGAAACTAGAAAACTAGATAGTACATATGTCCATCCCTTTGGTATACCCCTTGAGTGCATTGTACTATCTAGCACTAGTTGGCTCAAAACATACCTCTTGGGTATACCCATTGATTTTGTTAGAGTCAGTTGGAACCTGAAAGTCATCCTAACCTCTCTATTTATTTATTTATTTTCAAAAAAGTCTATAGGTCTGTAAAATATTCTACTACCACTATATGTGAAGGGTAAAAAACTGAACTAAGGAGTTATAGTAGACAATCTGCTCGGACTTCCACCATGGTGATGCAACGGATCTGGATCAAGTAGCGCTTGTCTCAAATCCCAACATGCGTGCACTGCCACAACTGATTATCAGATGATGAACATCAGAGGGAAAACAATGTTATGTAATCAGAGTGACATACGTTTATAAATGATTTTTTTTAGGCTACCATATGAACTTCATACAATGAACAATCATATATTTGAAATAAAAAACTGACTATCAGAGAACATCACATGGTACACAATGTTATGCAATCAGAGTGATATAATTTTCCCAAGCCACCAGATGAACAATCATAATTTAAAATGAATAAAGGACAATTTGAGGATGAACATCACAGCTTACACAATGTTATGCAATCAGAATGAAATCTATATAGAAATGAACTTTCTCAGGCCACCAGCTAAACACCATACGATGAACAATCACATATTTAGAATGAACAACTAAATATCAGAGGATGAATATCACAGAAAATACAATGTTATGTAATCAGAATAACATATAGATGGAAATAATTTTTCTCAGTTTACCAGATGAACAATCATATATTTAAAATGAACAACTGAATATCAGGGGATGAACATTTCTTGTCATTCTCGCTTGAGTCTGATCTATAACTTATTGATTTTGGGATTCACTTCTTACAGGTTTAATTTTCATCCCAACAATTGGTGGATGAACATCAGTAGTCTTAAGATTAACATTTCGTTGTAAGAAATGACGATCAAACAAAACAAAACGTACAACAATGAATATTTTCAAAAGCTACGAATTATCATCGAAATATGCAAAAAATCAACATCAAGAAACTCAAGAGAATTAGTCAAATAAATATCAAGAAACTCGGAAAAAAGTACGAATGATAAATTACTCACTTCATTTTCTTAAAGATAAATTCCTCACTTCAAACCCTAATTTCTATAAATTTCAAATCTAAAACAACTAATAACCGTTTTAACAAAAGAGAATCCTTACTTTGATAATCAGAATTGAAAAGAAGAATTACGATCTTGATTTTGTGTGTTTCACCGTCAGATCTGGACTGTTGTAAATTCCGTTTAACATGATTCACCAAACAAAGGCCTTATCTGTAATTCTGGATGATTGGAGTGAGGTTTCAAGCTGTGTTTTTAAAACCGGACTAAACCGGGCGGTCGAACTAGTTCAACCGGGAATCAGAGACCTTCCCGGTCTGATTTCGGTTATTAACCGGCAAGCTTAAAAACCGGTCAAACTCGCTCAAATCCTGACAAAGTCGCGGTCCGACCGGGAACCGATACTGGTTGGATCGAATTTTTAAAATTTTGAAAATAAATTATTTTTTTAATATTTTTTATAGCCGGTTTTGACCGATTTTTAAGACCGATTCACACCGGTTGAACCAGTGAACCAATGAACCAGCTAAGTTGTCGGTTCGCCTTCCGGTCCGATTTTCAAAACATAGGTTTCAAGCATATTTACCGGATGGAGATTTCGAGGATTAGGGGAGAAATTCGCAGATTTGTGGTGATGAGGAAGAAATAGAAGATAATTGAGAGTTTTGGATTTGAAAATTTTTGTTTTTTTTTTCAGAAAAAATCTCGCTATTTATACCTTCTTATACGGTGGCATTTTGGTAATTAAAAAAAATTGGGTGCAAATGTGGCGCGTGCTGGTTAAACACGGTGCTCCCTAATTAGGGAGCTCCGGGTGCCGGATGCCCATATATTAACTGGAAGGGGACTGCGCGCGTGCACTGCCAGACGTCGATTATTCCTGTATCCTCGCCGGGCAATGTCGTCGGTGGCGTCGTCAAGGTCCGGAGCTCCGAAATCGGTTGCCAGTGATCAAAATACAAACCAGAAGAAGGTGTGGTTCTACTCCCTGCTGCTCACGCTGCAATATGGAGCCCAGCCTCTCATCTCTAAAAGTTGCACTAGGTTTTGCTCTTACTTTTTCTTCATTCGGCTCTTATCGTTAGTCAATCCTAAGAATCAATTAAGTGCTAATATGATCAGTTCTGAAGTTGTTAACATGTTATCTGTTAATTCAAGCTTTGCTCGATTTTTGTTTGCCTAATTTTTTAGGGCTTGGTTGGTTCTACCATTCTAGTTGTGATAGTTGTGATGATATCAATGAGATTTGGAATACAAAAATGATTAGGTTTTCCATAATTTTACGGCATTGTGGAGTACCTACCATTGCAATTTGGTTGTAGTTGAAACGGACATTGTTTGTCTGCAAGCTTATATCAAAGCTGAAAATAAAAGTTTGTCTGATTTGAGGCCGTTCCCTACCTGATAATGGTGCTGAAAACATCTTGCCTTTTAATTATGCTTTCAGTCTGAAGAAGGTTAGGGGATTGTACCAATTTTTATATTTAGGTTGTCATCCTTAGTTTTGTCACATTAGCATAGGACAGTGAGCGATCAGAAGTTATAGATAGTTGGTTCTTTCCATTTAGTACTTTAGTATGCAGGAAAGAACCACCGTTGTATGTGGCGCTGTCTTTGATGGATATAATTAAAGGTAACCTCTGTATCTAGTGTCTTTAGTTGATTATCCTCGAACTTGAGCAGGATAATCCATGTTAGTTGTTACAGATGTAAGTACATTTGTGTTTATGGTTAATACTTGAAATTGCCCACATAAAGATCAGAATTGATGAATTATCAATACATTGAACTTCTAAATTTCAAACTTTTTTGTGGAAAAAGACATTTTTTGATATCATGTTGTCTCTTTAGCAAGTGTGACTGGTTTACTGAAGCCTTTTTGAATCATCATGTGAAATGATGTTGTGTCCCACCATTTCATTGTTCTGAAGGCGGGAAGTGATTGTTACGTCTGCTGTGTTAACATGTGAGGTCGTAAAGGTATAGGTTCTTTCTTATAAATTGATTCCTTTTATTGTTTCCTTTGTGTTCGCAACTTTTTAATGCTTTGAGCACTTCACAGGTGATCTGCGCTTTTCTTCTCATGGCCAAAGATGGGACTTTGAAAAAAGTGTTGAAAGAGTGGACATTAGTTGGATCACTGACTGCATCAGGTCTACCAGCTGCTATCTATGCGTTGCAGAATAGCTTGTTGCAGATTTCGTACAGAAACCTTGATTCTCTCACATTCTCAATGCTGAATCAGACCAAATTATTCTTCACTGCTTTTTTTACTTATGTAATATTGAGGTAAAATCATGTGTGCTTTTCTGCTTCTGTTCTTATTAGGAGATTAAAGTAAATACAGATTCCTGATCCTGTCTGTCTCTCAGATGAAAATCTGCATCCTTCATGATAGAGCTATAGAATGTAGAAGGGTTTTGACTTGAAGTTGGTTCAATTTTAATTTGATGCTCAATTAATTTGAGAACGATCCCATTGTTGATGAAAATTCGAGAGTTTTTCCTTTACATCTTTATATCTTTTCTTTTGGTTTCTGGGAAAATAGCTGGTATTTAACAACCTCTTAAAGAAGGTAATTAGTTAGAAATCTTGCAAACAGACATGCATTTATTGATATTGATTTTGCTTCTTTTTTTTTTTTTTGTTCCCTGGGATTTGATTATTTGTGCTTTGTTTTCCCAGGCAAAAGCAGTCAACCCAACAAATTGGAGCTCTCTTCTTCTTAATACTAGCAGCTGTTCTTTTAAGTGTTGGCGAAGGTTCCAGCAAAGCATCAAGCAGTAGTAATCCTGAGGAAATCTTATTTTATGGAATTGTACCTGTCCTTGTAGCCTCTGTGCTTTCTGGTCTCGCTTCTGCTTTGTGTCAGTGGGCATCTCAGGTAGGCCAAACAGTTGTCAATTTGGTATCAGTTTTTAAACGCTGCAACAAACTTTAACTTATATTTACGTTATTGGTATGGAAAAGGTGAAGAAGCACACATCATATTTGATGACAGTGGAGATGTCTATAATTGGAAGCTTGTGCTTGCTGGCTAGTTTTTCTAAATCACCTGATGGAGAAGCAATTAGAAAACATGGTTTCTTCTATGGTTGGACGCCGCTAACAATGGTACTTACTATCCTTTACTGAATGTTGACTCTGTCCAAGGTAGTGAATAACCTGTTTGGTTTTGTAGGTTAGTATCTCAGTCATCATTGTTATATTTATACTCATCATCAGTTGGTTGATCTACTCCTATCAAGTCTTAGAAGAAGAGACTTCTGTTAGGACAGCTAAACTAAGACCTTGATTATCCGCTTTCTTACTATCATTGCATGGACTTCCCTGTATACGTGCTGCTAAACTCATCTTAATAGCGGTTAGGAAGCCTTAGCTACTGCGGTTGCTTGAACATATTTATAATACCAAGTTCATTAGCAGCATGTGTCAAAAGCTCTCGTAGATAATTAGGATGCTAGTTAAGTTGAAAAGAGTTTTGATTTATACTTCAGTTTCAATTCATCTAATAAGGTTTATCTAGGGTTTCTTAATGAATGAGTATCAACTCCCAATCAAGAGGAGAAGGCTAAAGATAGATTTTACTATTCAAAATTGTTGGTTTGGTTGTTCTACTCTAGCAATGGTGAAATTGTTGGTTTAAAGAAGCCAAAGTGACATTCTTAAAAATTGTTTTGTTTTTATTCTGTTCAACTCGCATCTCCTGCAAAGCCCAAAGATATTTGGCTACAATGCCTAGACCTAAAAGCTTTCAACTCACCTCTCCTAGAACGATATTTTGCTACAACGCCTTGACCTAAAAGCCCATTAGAAGCAAAAGACATTAGACTGGATGAAGGAAAACATAGAAGGCATAATGAAACAAGACAAGTGATGAGTGTTGAGACCCTATGAGGTTGACTGGCTGGGTAGTCAGACATTGAGATGAAGTTTAAGAGGTAATACAACAGCTGGCTGAGGAGACGTGGTTTTACCCATCTCATGGACCTTTACATTTGGATTTAATGGACTAATTGGACCAAATGTACGAAGCTGTATGAATTCATAAACAATGTTTGGTTTGTTATTATAAAACTTACAACAAATGTGGATCATGTATTGTATATCATTCCCATAGTTAAGTATCATTCGAAAGTTTTGATGTGATCCATCTCTCTATCATCTCAGATCCCTGTGATACTCAATGCTGTTGGTGGAATTCTGGTGGGGCTTGTGACATCATATGCTGGTGGTGTTCGTAAGGTGAGTTTCATCCCTAATGATTCCTTAGAGTATGCCTTTGATGGTATAATGAAAATCAACACTCAACAACATACCCATTATTTTCTCAACTTCGTTGATATATGCCTTTGATGCGTATAAAATACAAGGCACAGATTTTAGAGGTTCTAGAAACCTAGAACAACAAGATACCTAGTATATTCTCAACTTCGTTGATATATGCCTTACCGGTGTATTTCAATACAGAGAGGCTGTTTAAGTACGTCGCTAGAGGCATTGGTGCATTTAATGTTTTCATTTCCAGCAACTTCTCAGAAAATTAAGAAGTATCATAATCTAGGTTAGCTTCTAGAACCCTAAGTTCAGAAAAATGGATGCTAAACTGCAATAATAAGACAAGGATTCCAAAAACTAGATTAGGAGTTTTTGGCTGGAACTGGACCTTGCTATGGCTTTGATGTACCAAGCATTAACTACATAATCATTTTTCAAAAGCTTGAGATCCCAGGTGCAAAACTTACCTATCACCATCAGTGGACTCTTGCCGTAAAATCTGAAATTTTCTGGATCAAAGGAAAGAATAAGTGATGAAGTAATTATTTGAAATGATTATCCCAAAATCATCGTCTTCACTTTCTTGAGTTAGAGTAAAACAGATGTTGAAATATAGATTGCTAAGATTGGTGCTAATATATTCAGCTAACCTTTTTCCAGTTGCAAAGAGTAGAACGGGGGCACCTTTTTCCGTTAGTTTCCATTTTTCTGTTCAATTTTTTCTCCCGAACCCTCCACTTTTCAAGCAGTTGACGTAGTGATCTTCTTCTGTCTCCTAAGTTTCCATTTTTCTGTTCAATTTTTTCTCCCGAACCCTCTACTTTTCAAGCAGTTGACGTAGTGATCTTCTTCTGTCTCCTAATAATGCAGGGATTTGTTATTGTTTCTGCACTCCTTGTCACTGCCATGCTACAGTTTATATTTGATGGCAAGCCGCCTTCCGTTTTCTGTCTTGTGGCGCTTCCACTTGTAATTACAAGCATATCGATTTATCAGAAGTATCCATACCGCGTCAAAACAAAGGAGTCATGATCCATTGTAGTAGTTAGGCAATAGTAATACTGGCACTAGCAAGGGAGTAAGGAGCTAGGTCGACGTCTTTTAGGAGTCTTCTTTACATCCCAAAATAGCATATCTTGAAAATTTATGCCAGGTTGGACCATATGTACCTTGTTAATGATTTATGTTGATGGTGCAATTTTCTTCCCGTTGTTACGGGTAGTGCAGATTATTATTATTATTTTTTTTTATGGTCGAAAAGCAAACTATATTATATTACTGCTCAAGGCTAGCGGCCTTGAACCCCTTGATCAAAAGGCATACATAAACCTACGTTATCATGTTCTAAGATTAAAGATATACAATTTGGAGCGACATAAAAAATATATAGCTTGGTAGTGCAAAATTTGACTTGGTTGAATAGCTTCTCCTAATGAATATAAGAACATATTGGAGCCACTAGGCCCATTACATATATATATATATATATATATATATATATATATATATATATATATATATATATATTTTGAATGAAAGGGTACATCTATATTAGTGGAAACCGGCCTCTAGCCTATTACAATGCATTTTTGCAAAAGCTAAATTATGAACTTCAATAACTTCTAATCTGCTAACTTTTAATTAGTAAGCATGACTTAAAGGCTAACTTAATAGACCGAAGCGAGGAAATAACTTCCTGATGTCACGGACAGTTTTTCTTCACCACGAATTCGGGTGGTTTGACGCGAAACGAGCTATTTTCGTAGACGGACATGGGACGGAACAGTCTAGAGCCTTGTGGAATTCTCCGGTCAAATCTTGAAGACTCTAGAATTTTCTAGAGAGGCCCGGAACTTTCTAGAAACGAGTGGAACCGTGTGGAAGCTACCCGAGTTTGCTAGAACCGTATGGAAGATTCTAGAGACTTGTAGATATTTTGAACTTAGAATATTTTATTGTAAGAATTCTCTAGAATTTCATTATTTTATTATGTACATAGAATTCTCTAGAATTCTTTAGGACTTGGGGGTTTGCCTATAAATACCCCATGCCCCCTTCATTTGTAAGGCATCCAATCTTTGAGTAGAGTTCTCAAGCATTCCTTAAGCTCTCTTGTGCCTTCATCGTTCTTTCACTTTCAACCTTTCTTAAGTTTTCTTTGCCTCCGTTCTTTAAGGCCTTGTCTAGCTTTGCACGTTTTGAGGGTCTTAAGGCTGAGCTAGCACTTGATCGTTAGTTGTTTTGTGCTAGTGCCGCACGACCGTTACTTTGGAAAAGTAAGCCCGTGACAGTTGGTATCAGAGCCTCGGCAGAATCGGCTCGTCTTAAAGCACGGCTTGACACCGTGGCCATGCAAGGGACAACCGGAGCCGTGAGGACGGTTTTAAGGCTTGAAGCGCCCAAGCCGGACGAATACAAGGGCATCCGCCGCTTGAGAGACGTGGAGAACTTTCTCTACAGCATGGAACGGTACTTTGGGGCTATGAATATCATGGACGACTCGGTAAAACTCTTCCAAGCCTCTCTTTATCTTAAAGATAGTGCCTTATCATGGTGGAAACGTATGATGAAACCCGTGGGGGATGGAGACCCGATCTTCACCACGTGGGATGGTTTTAAGGAAGAGTTTAGAAAGTATTTCCTACCCGTGGATGCGGAAGACGAAGCCCGGGCCAAGCTTCGTCGTCTGCACCATAGGGAAGGCCAAATCTGGGAATACATTAAGGAATTTTCGGACTTGATGCTTGAAATTCCGGATCTCTCGCCCAAGGAGGCGTTCTTTACTTTCATGGACGGTCTCAACCGTTGGGCCAAACTTGAGCTACAACGGAGAGAAGTCCAGGACATGGCCGAGTCGCTTGTTGAGTTCCAAAAGAAGGATAGCTCCAAGGACAAGGGCAAGAAGCCGTTCCAAGGCAAAGGTGGGGGAGACAAAGGGAAGTCTTCCACACCCGCAAAACCGGCAGCCGACTCTACAAAGCCGTTTTCGAGCAAGGAGACCAAGGGGGACAAGCCAAAGAAGTTTCAAGGGTGCTTCTTGTGCGGGGGAGCACACATGGCACGTGACTGCCCGTCTCGTTCGAAGTTAGCAGCATTGGCACAAGGTTTGTGCCAAGAAGAGGAGAAACGGGTCGCTTGCATGAAACGGCTAGACGCCGTGCATGCCAAGGCCGAGACACGTCAAGGCCGTCTTTACATGGAGGCATCGTTCGCAAACGGGTCTAGATGGGGCATGCTAGACACGGGGGCCGACACGAGTTATCTCACGGAAGAGTTTAGGGCGTGAACGGCGAATGGACGGGTCTTGTAGGCGAAGCCAGGGATGTGCTTCTTAAAATTGGCAACTTGTCAAGTACGGCTAATTTCTCCATTGCACCTATGGATGATTATGGTCTTGTGTTTGGCATGGAGTTTTTAGACCAGGTAAAGCCGATCATCGTGCCTAGCAACGACATGATGGTGATCCTCCAAGGCGAGAAGCCTTGTGTGGTAAAGTTTAGACGGGAAAATGAGATTAGCCCTTCCCAGCTGAACAAGGGGCTAAAACGGGGTGAACACACCTTTGCCACCATGGTGTTTGAGGAGGAACCATGCACAGAGGAGCCGGCAAAGGAGGAACGAATCCCGCTTCCCATAGAGCGAGTCCTTGTTGAGTTCAAGGACGTGATGCCCGACGATTTGCCCAAAGGTCTTCCACCAAGGAGGGAGGTTGATCATGCCATCGAGTTGGTGGATGGGGCGAAACCGATAGCCAAGGTGCCTTATCGTATGTCCCTAGTGAGCTAGGGAGCTCAAGGTGCAAATCAAGGAGCTACTTGAATCGGGTCATGCAAGGCCGTCTAAAAGTCCATGGGGTTCGCCGGCCTTGTTCCAACGCAAGAAAGATGGGACGCTACGTTTGTTCATCGACTATCGAGCATTAAACAAGCTAACCGTGAAGAACAAGTACCCTATCCCACTTATAGCGGACTTGTTCGACCGGTTGCAACGGGCACGGATCTTTTCCAAGCTAGACTTGCGGAAGGGATACTACCAAGTACGCATAGTATCCGGTAATGAACCGAAAACGGCCATGGTGACGAGGTATGGCTCTTATGAGTTTCTTGTTATGCCGTTCGGTTTAACTAACGCCCCAGCCATGTTTTGCACTCTGATGCAACGTGTGCTAGCGGATTTCATTGATAAATTCGTTGTAGTATACTTGGACGACATCGTTATCTATAGTAACACAATGAAGGAGCATGTGGAGCATCTTAGAGTCATTTTTCAAGTCCTTAGGGAAAACCAGTTCTATGTTAAAAGGGAGAAGTGTTTTTTTGGCCTTGAGGAGGTGTCGTTCTTGGGACACATCATTGGTGGGGGCAAAATCCACATGGATCCGGCCAAAATCAAAGCTATCGTGAAGCGGGAGGCACCCACGAAGCCAACGGAGTTGAGATCGTTCTTGGGGCTTGTTAATTACTATCGGCGGTTTATTGAAGGGCACTTCGCCATAGCCGCTCCACTAACGGATCTCTTGAAAAAGGGGCAAGCTTGGTGTTGGACACCAAAACACCAAACAGCGTTCGAGGCTTTAAAGGACGCCGTCACTCGAGAGCCAGTCCTAGGTCTCCCTGATTTTGAGAAACCATTCGAGGTGTGCACGGATGCTTCGGACTTCGCCATTGGGGGCATTCTTATGCAAAATGGTCACCCGATCGCCTTTGAAAGTCGCAAGTTGAACGAGACCGAGAAAGGTGGCCGACGCACGAGAAAGAGAGGTTGGCTATAGTTCACTGCCTTAGAGTTTGAGAGCACTACCTAAAGGCCACCACACCGTTCAAGATCAAGACGGACAATCGGGCAGTGAGCTACCATCAAAGCCAACCTAAGCTTTCAAGCAAGCAAGCACGTTGGTTGGACTTCTTGGCCGAGTTTAAATACGAGCTTGAGTATAGCCCGGGGAAGACTAACCACGTGGCCGACGCCTTAAGCCGAAAGGCGTGTCTTGCTCCAATCGTTAGCATACCCGAGGGGACGCTGGTTGATCGCATCAAGAAGGGTCTTGAGCACGACCGTCAAGTCCAAAGGTTCATAGAGCTCGTGAAGGAAGGCAAGACAACACGGTTCTGGCTTGAGGATGGTATACTTTATGCAAAGGGGAACCGTTTGTACGTGCCCGCATGGGATGGACTTAGAAGGGAGATTCTAAGGGATTGCCATGATAGCCGTTATGCGGGTCACCGAGGTACGCATCGTACACTTGCCTTAGTCCATGAACGGTTCTATTGGCCTCACATGCGGGAAGACGTGGAGACGTATGTAAGGACTTGTCTAGTTTGCCAACAAGACAAGACCAAGCAAGACCACCCGTATGGCTTGTTATCACCCTTGCCTATTCCGGAACGCCCGTGGGACAGCGTTTCGATGGATTTCATCGTGAGCCTGCCCGTTTCCGAGGGTTGCACCAACATACTTCTTGTGGTAGACCGTTTGTCTAAGTATGCAGTCTTCATTCCCGCCCCAAAAGAGTGCACCACGGAGATAACGGCCAAACTCTTTCTTAGGCATGTGGTGAAGTATTGGGGGCTGCCTACATCGATCATAAGTGACAGGGACTCGAGGTTCACGGGCCGTTTTTGGCAAGAAATCTTTCGTTTGCTCGGGACGGAGCTCAAGATGTCTACATCTTTGCACCCGCAAACAGATGGGCAGACGGAGCGCATCAACGGCCTCTTGGAGGTGTACCTCAGGCACTATGTGGTAGCCAACCAGAAAGAGTGGGTACATTTGCTAGACGTTGCCCAATTTTCCTATAACTTGATGCGGAGTGAGAGCACGGGCAAAAGTCCGTTTGAGATTGTCCTTGGTTTCCAACCGACTACGCCTAAGGACATTCTTGGGGGCTATAAGGGCAATAGCCCACCCGCATACAAGTTTGCCAAAGATTGGCAAGAACGGGCCGACGAGGCTAAACTCTACTTGGAGAAGTCGGCAGCGCGCATGAAGAAATGGGCGGATAAGAAACGGACCTGTCGTGAGTTTGAAGAAGGCGACCAAGTCTTGGTAAAGCTTTATGAGCATGGTCGGAGCCGTGGTTTACACAAGGGTCTCATGCGCAGATACGAGGATCCTTTCACCGTTCTCAAGAAAGTGGGTTCGGTTGCTTACAAGCTGGAGCTACCCGAGGCCTTTTCAAAGCTTCATCCAGTCTTTCATGTGAGCCTACTTAAGCCATACCGCAAGGACCCAGAGGACGAAGAACGGAACGTTTCCTCAAGGGCACCAGCTGGCGTACGCGAGCATGAGGAACGGACCGCAGAGGACATCCTTTCTAAGAGGATCGTTCGGGGTAAGAGCGGGGCAGCAACTAAAGAATATTTGGTGAAATAAAAGAATTTGCCAATGAGTGAGACGAGTTGGGAGCCAATCGAGAAGCTTTGGCAATTCACCAAATTTATCGAGGACTTTGAGGAGAATCGTGCACCCGTTCCTATCAACATTGCCTTCGAGACTTAGGTGCATCGGGGCAATGCACCATTTTGGTGGGGGAGGATGTCACGAACAGTTTTTCTTCACCACGAATTCGGGTGGTTTGACGCGAAACGGGCTATTTTCGTAGATGGACATGGGACGGAACAGTCTAGAGCCTTGTGGAATTCTCCGGTCAAATCTTGAAGACTCTGGAATTTTCTAGAGAGGCCCGGAACTCTCTAGAAACGAGTGGAACCGTGTGGAAGATTCTAGAGACTTGTAGATATTTTGAACTTAGAATATTTTATTGTAAGAATTCTCTAGAATTCCATTATTTTATTATGTACATAGAATTCTCTAGAATTCTTTAGGACTTGGGGGTTTGCCTATAAATACCCCATGTCCCGTTCATTTGTAAGGCATCCAAGCTTTGAGTAGAGTTCTCAAGCATTCCTTAAACTCTCTTGTGCCTTCATCGTTCTTTCACTTTCAACCTTTCTTAAGTTTTCTTTGCCTCCGTTTTTTAAGGCCTTGTCTAGCTTTGCACGTTTTGAGGGTCTTAAGGCTGAGCTAGCACTTGATCGTTAGTTGTTTTGTGCTAGTGCCGCACGGCCGTTACTTTGGAAAAGTAAGCCCGTGACACTGAGCCGCAGTGGGTATAAGAGAAGTTGGGTTATCCAACGTGAGCGTTTCGCAGTCAATATAAACTTGAATTCTTGTCAAGCCGAAACTCAAAGCGTCTTGCAAAGCGAGGAAGCAAGTCATTGCTTCTGCTTGTAGTGGGGACAAAACTGTAATGTCAACCACCTTGAGCTGCAAAACCATGCCATTTGGAGAAACAATCTTCCAGGCAGCTACAGCATTCCTTGTTCGATGGCTGTATGATCCATCGATGATGATCAGAGAATTGGAGGAGCTTCTGAGTTGCGGTCCTGAGGGTGGTCTGATTATGGACGTAGTGCGACGACAGAGATGTGTATTAATGTTCTCATCAGTAAGGATCAATCTCCACGAAACCGCACGATGGGTTGCTTGATTTCTCCAATTCCTGTCATTTCGGTCCATCTATAATGAGAAGAAAAAGATCCAGCTCTGCCTTAGGTGGATGCATTTGGATCCAATTAACAAACCAGGTCATAACATAGTTGTAATTAGGCACAAAAATGGAGGCAAACCGTAGATATGCTAATGCCCAAATAGTCTGTGAAGAGTCACATGGGAAAAACAAATGAAGTCCAGTTTCTTCACCACTTCTACAACGAGGGCATACTTGGTCAGTCAAAACTCTTCTTTTAGAAAGTTTTGACCTGGTGGGTAGCGTATCCAGTAACACTCTCCAAAACAAAAACTTATGTTTTGGTTGTACACCAGAATGCCAGAGTCGTTTCCACGCCAACTTTTCCTTTAGCAATATCTCAGGATTTTGAGCTGGTAATGGAAGAAGGGCGTTAGTATCTAATTGATAACCTTCCTGCACAGTATAACTGCTATGTGATGACGTTGTCCATTGGATTTCATCAGGATGAGTGCGTCAAGCAGGATCAACAAAAATTCCCACAATACGTGAGATAATGTGATATGAAAAAAACCTGCGTAGAGTGTGTATCCGCCATTGGCCATTAGCATTGATGAAGTGAGCGACCTTAAGATTAGAAGTTGCTAGAACCGACTGAGTATTTCAGGAATCCAATTTGCAGCTATGGGAATGTCGTTTCCCGAAACCACTTTCCATTTAGTACGATTCTGGATTAATTCTACGCCCCAGAGTATACTTTTAAAGCCCCAAGAAGAATTAGACGGTGGTTGTGCCGGGGGGAAAACTCTATTATTGCAATATTTAGCCCTAAAGAGACGACCCATCAGAGAATTTGGATCTGTCATTAATTTCTAAGCATGTTTTGCTAGCATAGCTTTATTAAATTCCTTGGTTGTTTTAAGACCCAAACCTCCATGAAAGGTTGAAGTGGCCATTTTTTCAGTGATCGCCAATGAATTTTCTCTGTCCTGTGATTCTCCTTTCCATATAAAGGCTCCCATAATTTGATCTGCTTTCCGAAGTGTTTTTGCAGGCAGACGAAAGACTCCCATTGGATAAACCAGCATAGAAGATAAAGTAGATTTGGCCATAGTGACTCTCCCAGAGAGAGACAACATTTTGGTCCTCCAGGAAGCAAAGTTCCCCATCATTCGAGAAGAAATTGAGAGAAGATTGTCGTCTTTCTTTATGAGAAATCCAACCTGAGACCCAAATACTTGCTATGAACTTGTCCCATCGGGATCTTGAGAGTGGCATGAATAAATGATTTCATTTCTTGACTAGTGTTTTGGTTGAGAAGAATGGAGCACTTTTGAAAATTGATGCGCTATCCTGAAAAAATTGAACAATTTTCCAAGAGTCCAGTGAGGGCCAAAATGGAAGCTTGCTTACATTACAAGAAGAAGAGACTGTCATCCGCATACATAAGGTGACTTATGTGTGGTGCAAGGCGACAAATTTTAATACCCAAGCCTGGAAAGGTAGAGATCTCCGACTTGATGGCCGATGAAAGTACTTGTTGGCACAAAATAAATAAGTAAGGAGATAGAGGGCACCCTTGTCTTAAACCTTTATTTGGGGAGAAAGGCTGTAAATATCTCCATTGAACTGTATGAAATAGGACATCGAAGACACACGTTGCATGATCAATGTGATGATGCGTGGCGGGAAGTTGGCCTTGATTAAAACCGCCTGTAGAAAGGACCATGAAATACGATCATAAGCTTTACTCATATCTAGTTTTGCCGCTGCTAGTCCTGTGAGACCCTTCTTTTTCCTAATGCATTCCACCACCTCATGAGCAATGATAATGTTTTCACTGATGTTTCGTCCTCCGACAAAGCCATTTTGATGCTCATCAATCAAACCATTCATCATCACTTTTGGTGATGATCTTGTACTTAACATTGCATAGACTAATAGGCCTGTAGTCATTTGGGGTTACCGGCGATGCCACTTTGGGTATAAGCGCCAATCTTGTTTGGTTCCACTCAGGCGGAAAGGTAAGTGAAGTGAATACCTCAAGGATAGGCTTTTGTACATCCGGGCCTATAATATGTATTGTTGATAAAAACCTGCCGACATACCATCCGGGCCCGGAGATTTCCATGGTGCCATTTTTTTAATGGCACACCAAACTTCATTGGCTGTGAAAGGAGCATCTAAAGCTGCAATTTGTTCAGTTGTTAATACTTCCTCCACATTGCTGAGGAAATTTTGGAAATGGATAGAGGATGGACCACTCTGAGAAGATACATCACTAGTTCTGTAAATGTTGGAAAAATGTTGGTGTACCAGAGATCTCAATGCTTCTGTCTCTTGAATCGAGTTTCCTTGTGCATCCTAAAGTTCATTGATCCAAGTGCTGCCTTTCCGTCGAGTAGCCCATTTGTGAAAAAATTTGGTATTTCTATCCCCAAACTGGTGCCAGTTCAACTTAGCTCGCTGATGCAAGTATTATTGCTGTAAATGGAGAGCCTCCTCTAAAGCCAAACGACTTGATTCTAAGTGATTAGCCCGAGTTGTATCATTCTTGCTCTCCTCCCAGTGAGATTGAGCTTTCGTTAATTCTTCCGTGAGCTTGAAAACCATTTGATCTAGATTCCCGAACCTAGACTTACTCCATTGGTGCAGATGTTGCAGTGTCTTTTCCAATTTAAACGACAGTTCTTGCTGTTGATCCTCAATGGTTACCAAGGGTTGTGACCAGGCTTGCTGAATCATTCCTTTGGAAGAAACACATTTTGACCAAAATTGTTCAAACCTGTGATTCTTTTTTGGTAGCTGTTTTTGTTTTAGCTCTACTAGGATGGGTCCATGATCTGAGCTCATGATGGACAAGTTTCTGATTACCACTTTCTTAAAGGTATCTAACCAAGGTTTGTTCACAAAAGCACGATCTAACCTTTCAAAGATCACAGCTTGGTCTTGGTGCTTATTGGTCCAAGTATACCAACATTCAATATGCTTTAATTCTTCCATGTCATTAGCATCCAATAACTGACGGATTGCACCAGTATCTTGAGGTCGTACTTGCCTACCTCCATGTTTATCTTCTTGATCTAGAACTTGATTAAAATCTCCTACCATAATACTAAGATAACTATAACCTTGAATAATTCCATTTAATTGTGACCAACATTCGGCCCTATCATGAAAGGGGAGGACCGTACAAAAAAATAGCCAACCATTTAAGGTCTGATCGTTCACAAATCTTAGCAACTATTACATTAGAGTTTTGATATAAATACTGAGATTAACAGCAGCAGACCAAAAGAGGGTTAATCCCCCACTAAGACCAACAGAGTCTATTACAACTGAATTTGCAAAAGAAGTAGACTGTTGACAAGCCAAAAGATTGTCCTTGCTGGCCTTAGTCTCCATGACAAATAAGATATTAGGTTTATAGTTTTTTAAAAGTCTACCTAATGCATGCTTAGATGAGGCATTATGCATGCCTCGAATATTCCAACAGAGTATATTCATAGAAACAGAGGCGGTTGATCTGATTCAACCGTCGCAAGACCATTCAGAATATTACCTTCAACAGTATCAACAGCATTGACTCCTCCAAACTGCTGTACTGGGAGTGCCCCTTCTTTACCTTCAATAGACTCAACATCATTAACTCCCTCAACCTGCAGTTCTTCTTCCATTATAACAACTTCATACATTAGCTAGGTAGTATCCAAGGCTTGGAACAAAGCATCAACCTCTTTGTCAGCTGGTTGACTAGCACTCTTCTTACCAGGACGTTCTTGTTCATCCTCTGAAGCCTCAGAACTTCTCTTCCGGCTGCCTGAAGAAGCATCAATGTCCACAGAATCATCAGAAAGTTCAAAATCCTCATCCAAAACCTGCATCTTCCATCCGGGGTGATCTTGTGAAATAGCTGCCCTACTTACAAAAATCTGAAGAAGATGAGGAATGTCTGCTTCAGAAACCGCCCTTCTGGCACGCATACAATAATTCTCCTCAGCACTATCACTCAGTAAAGAATCGTCATTGAATTGATTTGGTGCAGACACAGAGGAGAAATGTCTTCGAGAACCCGATTTCTTAAAAGAAACCCGTCCCTGCCTAGAAATAGGAACCTCAGAGCTTCCAGAATCCCTAGTGCCCTTAGAAGAATCAGAAACATCATTTGCATGTCTTCTGGAACTACTTCCTGTGCTAAGATGCCTTAACAAACTACTACTGGCATCATCATTATATCAGAACTAGAGTATAGACCATTAAAAACAGAGTTTGGGGATACATTCCTAGTGGGTGATAATCAAATACATTTGGAATGAAAAAAATCTGGAACATAAGATGGATCAACCAACATTTCCTCAGAAGGAAGAAAATCAGCAATGTCATAAAAGGAGGATGGCATGTAAAAGGTAGAATTATTACCTGAATCAGAATTATCAGATACCGCCAAAGAAGGAGACAGAGAAGAGGGGATTGAATGAAAGCTATCACCTTGATTACTTGAAGTGTTTGAGGATCCGCCATTTGCAGCTGCAGGTGCAGCCATGCAGGAAGGATCAAAACCAAACTGTGGATTGAGATTGAAGCGCCTAGAAAGAGGAACTGGAGGTCCATCATCATCAACAAAGTTGTCAGCATTCATATATGTCATGTAATCATCTTCATGCATTCCATTGTTGCCATCAGGGCCAAATAATCATCTTCATCATCATCAGAGTCATCCTGGTCAGTTGGATCATTATCAGTATTATTGTCATCATCGTTCGAATGTGGAGGAGACCAAGGGGCAGGCTCTCCATCTTCAACTTCAGAAATTGTGAAACCATCTTCAATGTAGTGATCAGGAACAGTAGCATAGTAATGAGTCATATCTTGCACCTTGTAGTCTGGTAGCAAAGTACTGCGTTTCTTTTTATGAGCATGAGCTCTTAAAGATCCTGTGTAGAGAGGTTGGTTGACGTCAATAAACATAGGTGAATCAAACTTTGCCGCCTTAGCTAAGAAGAACGTATTAAGAAAATTCTCCAATTGCTGGTCCTCCATCATATAGCAGCGGTTGAGAGGATGACCCAATCGACCACACCTTTGACAGTACTTATGCATATGCTCATACTTGCATCTGATTTTGGCCATCTTACCATTTCGTTCAGTAAAATGAAACAGAGGAGTCAGGGGATGTCCAGGCTTGATCCAAACTTTTGCTCTAACATAGGTGATCTTCCTCAAGGAGACACAATCCTGCTTGATACAGGCAACCTCTCCAACACGGCTTGCTAAATCATGCCGGGATCTATAGTTCATTGAAGTGATAGGGACGCCATGCATGCGCACCCAAATGCTAAGCTTTTCAATGCGAATATTATCCAAGGTTAGATCTTCATGATCATAGCATCGACGGAGGATGAGAGACCACCATTGACAGCATAAGGACCATTATTTAAGATTGCTAGCATATCAGATCTGCTGGCAGACTTAATAATACAAAAGTTCCTGTAGTAGTGAAGTACTCTGGCATAAACCGGCCAATTCTTATACATATACTGTGACATAGATGCATCAGAGACTTCTACATCATCTAGCACATATCCGAGGAGTGATAGCTTGAGATTATCCCGGGAAAGTTCTGTCTGATAATCAGTTAGCTGCATGTTGCTGGTTCTCAGATAAGGGTGTGTACAAGATGCGGATCTATGTCCACCCCAGGATAGAACCTATGATACTGCTCAGAGAAATTTGATCCTTGTATAGACATAGTCGTTACAGAATTCTCGTCCAATGCATGTCTATAACTCATGATGTCTAGTATTGTAATAAAGAAAAGGAAGGGGAATAAACAGATCCAGACAAAACAGGCAGATCTACAATAAAACTTGAAGGACCAAAAAGAATATGAGGAATGTGAGATCTTTCGGATTAATGGAGAAAAGGATAGGGAGAAGTAAAGGATAACTGATGAGGTAAGAAAAATTTTTGGGAAAGAACAACAGAGAGAAAAGGCCGAGAAAAAGAAACCAGAAAGGCAACAGTCTTTACTGCCTTAAACTAGAAAATGAAAGTGACTTGGAAGTTGAAAAAATTGGGAGCTCGAGACAAGAAAAAGGAATTGAAGCGAGCAAGATGACACATTAAATTAAAAAGGTTGAATATTAAAATAAGCATGAACCACATCTGGGGAAATTCAGTAAAAAATGGAAGTGAAGTGACAGCAAAATGCATGGCTTCCAAATGGCAAGAGAGTCATTCAAAAGGCAGGATCAATGAACTTAAACCATAATTTGGGAAGTGAAATTACAAAACCGAGTGCTAGGACATAAAGTGATTTTTGGAGTTGGTTTTTTTCTTTTTTCTTTTTTTTGGATGTACTAGGTTGAATTGAAGCATCAGATTGTAGAAGATTAAAGCACAAATGATATGCCCAAAAATTGGAGAAAAGGCTAAAAAAAATTGGCGGATTTGAACAAAACTAGGTTTGGATAATTGTTGTCAAAATGTGTTCCTCTATCTGGAAGGAAAACAAGACATTCTCTCATTAGAATTTTTTAGAGAGAAGAACGACTAGTAATGCTATTTGGCCCATTACAGTTGAATCCTATGCTTCATAGTTTTCTCCTTTCTTTCCCTGATTCGGGAATTTAAAGTTTTATTCTCTCATAGTGGTAGTTTCATTCTGCAATTGATAGGTTTTAAAATTGGATTTATGAATCTTTACCGCTTAACTATTGAGACAATTGATAAATAGCTAAGCCGATGTACATTTGAAAAATCAAACGGTCTGAATTTCAGAATTTAGTACCAGAAATTGGACATCTTTTCCGGTCGAAAAAGAGAAGCCCTTGAAATTGACTAATAAAGCTTAAGCACTAATTCAAGGGAGGTTATCTGAGATTTCGTATTTGCAGAATAATTTTTCAAGACTATTCCAATTGCCAGCAAAATTACTGTCGGTCCATCCACGTTTAGCTGACTGAGAAAGTACTATACCTTTTGGACTATAATGACTGCTCAAGGTTATTTGGCCATATAATATCTGAATGCCTTTTGTCTTTGGTTTTGTATGTTGGTGCTGAATTGGCTTTCTTAGTTGACCCTAAAATTGTAAACTAGACGAGGGCCGTCTTCCTCAATAAAACTTTAGATTAAACGTTAAAGGATTGATTGCAGTGTCAGACAAAGATATATATGCATATTAAAACAAATAGGTACAACAACTTTTTGTAATGTGTAATTGTCTTGTACTCAAAATTAAAACTTACCAAGGACAAATATCCATGATTATTAAAAAGATCGAGGATGTCTGCTGTTCGGTTTCGTTAGAAAAGAGGACAAAGAAAGTACATATGTGAAATTGTATGCTTAATGTAAAAATGATGCAAATATCACTTTCGAAAGTTACATGTTAGTATTGCAGAATAACTCCACGTTATCTATATGATGATTACTACCTCAAGAAATTGACCTGGTATACATACATAGTTAGTCCTCAAAAGCAATAATTGAATAGGAACAAAAGAAAAAAAATAGTAATCTATAGTTGGCCGGTGGCAAACGATTTAAATTAGGTTAATTATTTAAATTCTACTACCTTTGACTTGCTAATTGATGTTTGAAGAATTCGACCTATACATGTCCAGTCGAAAGAAAATCTGGTTCGTATAAAAAATGAGGAGTATTACATCTTTTGAGTCTCTAATTAAATTTATTGATTTTGTTTTTTGGTATATTACTGTCTATGAATTCATTGTTAGGATTTATATGGATTGGAGCCAATAAAGTAGGATTTAGTATAAATTTTGATGTATTGATCAAATTGGAGCCAATTGAGTAGGATTTGATATAAATTTGATGTACTTTTTGTTTTTGTTTTGTTTTTTTTTTTGTAAAAGAATTTTGATGTATTGATTTGATCGGTTATCGATTGACGACTCCATTTTCATGTCACAAATTGGAGTTTTATTTGTTTCTTTATTGTCGTTGAAATGCTTAGTTGTTTATTTTCCAATATTTAATAATTGATATTGTAATGACTCGAGAAAGTTTTGCAATATTAGTTGTCTGTCGAAGTGCTTGGATGCATTATTCTAATGACTTGAGAAATTTTTGGTCAACGTATTGAATGTTGATAACTTCTGTAGCTGGCATATTTTAAGCAATTTTCGAACCATAAGACAACAAATTGACGTAAAAAAATCGTGGTCTTGATTCAAAATTTTTATGACATTTTTAGTGCTACTAATGATATTCATTTTTCATAGATTAAACATAAGTAAATCAATATTAATACATGAACTTAATATTAAATAAATCCTATTTAACACGTCAATGAACGGAAATGAAACATGAAAATTGTTACGGAAAAATCTGTTATCAATCTTCAAGGTTTATTATTTATAAAGAAAATCCCGTAAACAAAAAACAAAGGAAGTGTCGGTAACATTAACATATATGTATAGGATTAGCAGCCCCTATGGTGCAATTCCGTACATCCCAAACTTTTTAAATTAAAAAAAGGATGACCTCAATTTCAACGTACATATCCACAAGATTCTTCATTTTACATCCTCAATTTTAACCTTACATGTCAACCAGATTCTTCATTTTACATAAACTATTTTGCCACCAATCTTTCAATGTCAATATAAACTGTATTCAACCCAACAAATTAATTGACAAGTTTGATAGTCAAGATCCTTTTCTAACTAGGCTCAATTTCCAGCTTCCAACAATGGCAGAGAAGGTATAGTTCAGTACATGTGTTTATCAAAGTATATATAGATCGAATTGGAAGTAACTAATCAATATTTTGATATGTTTGATTTATTACAGGCGACATGGATGGCGCTTAAAGTTGATCTTCAGTGCCCATGCTGCTACAAGAAGATCAAGAAAATTCTCTGCAAATTTCACGGTGAGTATGCTCTTACAACTTCATGGTGAATACGTAATCATAATTCTTATGTCACAAAAAAACTTCAATCAGTGGACTAACTGTCACGTCAAAATTAAGTTCTTGTTTTTTTTTTGTGTGAAAAAAAATGAATTTTCTAACTTACTTTTGCACGTTGAATTTCATGGGACAACAGAAGTTAAAGATCAGGTGTATGATGAGCAGAAAAATTTGGTGAAGATAACTGTGGTGGCCTGTAGCCCAGAAAGAATCCGTGAGAAATTGTGTAGCAAAGGTAAGAAAGTGATTCAGTCTATTGAGATCATAAAACCACCGGAACCCTCCACCAAGAAAGAAACCGGGACCGAGAAGAAGGAAGCGGACGGAGACAAAAAAGGGAAAAAGCCGAAAGACGGAACCACCAACAGACCCAACGCCCCGGAGGAGCGCAATGTTCATATTGAGATTCAACTCCGAGATCCTACGCAACCGTGTAAACCCGCGGCTCCACACCCTAATCCACCGTGTCCGGCACCGGCACCACCAGCGACGCCGGTAGAAGCTGTTCCGGTACCGGTACGGGTGGTTCCGGTTCCACCTGGATATTTCATTCCTCGGAGTCGGTGCGATTGTGGTTCTCCTTACCGGCCGTGTTCTTGTGAGTATGGGAATTTCCGACCACTGCCACCGCCACTGCCTCAGCCGTGTTTCGATAATCATTGTGGATATGGATCCGGGTGCAATAGAGGATGCTGTATCAATCGCTGTGATTATGTGTGGGACGAAAATGCTTCAGGGTGTACCATCATGTGATGAACCAATATCCTTCTTTTCCACAATAAAAAGTTTTAAAATCAATCATTTTCAAAACTATGATTTTTTAAAATTTTTTTTATAATGTGTGATTACATGATTACATGGACCGGCTGTAGTCATTGGAAATTAAGGGTTCAATCTCGTCCATTACGGGATGTCAACCAATTTGTTTGATCATCATGCTCCTTTGAGTACTCTTTTTCTCCTTTTCTTTCTTTATTTACATTGTGCTCAATTTGCAAATTTCCTTTAATGATCAAGGGATTTATGGGTTCTCTTATAGGTATATATGTACAATAATGAAGTGATTTATGACATGTAGTGCACATTGTTAATTTCTACGAAAATTAGTTAGGTTTTATTATTTGATTTTACTCATAACTAAGTTCTGCTTTTCGTTTTTTTACATTGACAATGGCTTACACAAGTGAAATGTGGAAAATTCAAACAAGAAGCTAGCTAGAAGTTTGATCTAGCTACTAAAGATCAACTCCTTCTATTCATGACTAATGGACTAAGAGCTGTTCCCAGTCATTGAATTCTTAAAGCATGTCCTTTGAAAGAAATTGAGAAAAAGAAACTTAGATCAAGAAAGTGAGAGTATCACTAAAAGTTAAAAGACACACGTATCTTATTCATCATGGCATATATTTCTTTTGTTCCATTTGATATAGAATACACATTGAAACTAAACTTACCCCGAATTTTTGACTCGTTTCGTAATCATCCATAATTATTCACTTTTATTTTACTTAAATATATTGCTGCCGGAGTAGAAAATGCTTTGGCCCCCATCAAGAAATAAATTGTGCCCGCTCACACATTTAGCGTCATCACTAGCTAGATAAAGAGCTGCTTTAGCAACATCATCAGCTGTGAGGTTACACCTTTAAGATTGAAATTGAACTTCAAATTTAGCACATTCCCTAAATCAGTCCCCCAACTCCCAAGAATTGAGCGGTTAGCGGGGTTTCCATTATTTTGGTGATAAGCAATTAACTCTAATACCAAATTTCCCAAGTTCCACGGCCAAATTTCTTGTGAGCCCTACGACAGAATGCTTTGAACAAGTGTGGGTTGCGCCACCACCCATGCCGGAAGCCAAGCTGGCGGTGGAGATTATGCATCCGGTTTTAGCCAGAACCATCACTCGCGCCGCGTGTTTCATCCCTAGAAAAACGTACTCTGGTTACGTTCACTCTCAGAACTCTTTCAAAGTCGACTTTCTCGTTATCCATGATTAGGGTTTTTCTGGGATCGATTGTCTCGGCATTGTTCATCATGTTGTCTAATTTTTCGTAGGTTGCGACTGCTTTATTGACGGCATATGTGATCTTCGTTGGTTACGTCGCAGTGAACGTAAGTACTATTTAAGTCCTTTGCCGAAGAGTGTCCAATGTCATCTTAGATGTCGGCAATAACAACTTTAGCAGCATGATTTGAGAAGACTTGTTAACGTATATGTATAGAGGGCGTATATGTATAGAGAGGTGTGTTGGTCATTGTAGTATATTTAGGGTTTCTTTGAAACCCTAACCAGATTGTACTTGTATAAATACTTGAGCTCTAAGCTGTAATAGACAGATTGAATGTTGTGCCGTCCATGTACTTTGTTTGTCATGGTATCGAGATGATCCAAACCTCAGAAATTAGTGTTGTTTTTCAGTTCTAAATCGTGTTTTTTTCTCTGTTTGCCGGCGTTCTGCCTCGTGGCTCACGGTGGAGAATCCTCAACTGTTCGTGAACCAACAACAACTGTGATAGATGCTCCTCCGCCACGAAAAATGATCAATCCCTATGATCTTTCTACTACTGATCTTCCCGGCTCCATCATCACTCAAGTTACTCTCAAACCTGAGAATTATGATGCTTGGTCTAGGGCTATTCGTACTGCTCTTCGCGCCAGAAAAAAATTCGGGTTCGTCGATGGAAGTATTCCTCAACCGCCGACGACGTCTCCTGATCTCGACGATTGGTGGACTAATAACTCTCTTCTTGTCGCATGGCTTCTGAATACCATTGATCCAGCGGTGCATTCCACAGTTCCGCATCGTGAAGGGTTGCTGACTTGTGGAAACATCTCCAGGACTACTTTGGGGCTGTGAATGGTCCTATTCAGCAACTTAAAGCCGAATTGGCTAACTGCAAACAAAAAGGACTCAGTATGGCTTCCTACTTCGGCCGATTGCAGCAATTGTGGGAAGATCTCTCCAGTTATGAACCGCCATTGACATGTTCATGTGGTTCTGTTTAATTTTAGGCGGCGTTGACAACTCGCCTTGAGTATGAGAAGCTTCATCAGCTCCTTATGGGGTTAGATTCCTCTATTTATGGGACTGTACGCTCAAATATATTGTCCCAAGAGCCTCTTCCCACGGTGAATAGGGCTTATGCGTTGCTGGTTCAAGAAGAACGGCTTCCCACGCTCTCCACTACTCAAGATGAATCGATCGCCGATGTACTCAGCTTTGCGATTCAATAGTCTCGTCCGACTTCTTCTGTCAGACCTTCTGCTAAATCCGACATCAAACCTGGTGATGGACGTGACAAATCTGTAATATGCAGCCATTGCAACAAACCTGGGCATGAGAGTTCCACTTGTTTTGATTTGATTGGTTACCCAGAATGGTAGGGTACCAATCGTCGCTCCGGCCGCAGTTCTGCCGGCTGTGGTAATTCTTCTGGTCATGTTGGAGCCTTCTCTATATCGGATGCAGCTGCTGGACGTGGGATTTCAAGTGGTCGCGACTCTGGTTCTCTTCTCGGCCATGCAAATTTAGCCATTGTTCCCGGGTCATCGTTTGTTGGTTTTGCCTATCGAGAGTGACAAAACAGTTGTCACGGGTCTCTCTCCGGCTCAATGGCAAACTCTCATCAATTTTTTGCACAAAACTAAGTCCGAAGAGTCCCCTTCCAGTAAGCATTTTTTTCACTGGATGTTCGATTGTGGAGCCATTCATCATATGATGGGATTTCTTGACTAATTGGTGGATTTGAAGACTATTTCTCCTCGTCCATTTCAATTACCTGATGGCACTGTGACTTATGCACCTCAAACGGGTTCTGTTCGTTTAAGTGATTCTGTGGTTTTGATTAATGTGCTATTTGTCCCCAATTTAAAGTGTAGTCTGATATCTCTGTATCACTTGTTGGAGGATTCTAATTGTGTTACTCAGTTTACAAAAAAAATATTTGTTATTCAGGATTGCATTTCGAGGACTTTGATTGGAGCGGGTGAGCAGTTGGGGGGGTCTCTACTTCTTCCGGGTGATTCTTGTTTCAACTGTTGTTCATGCTTCAGTTGTGGATTCTTCTCAGTTGTGGCATCAACGGTTGGGCCATTCGTCTTCCAAGGTTCTCCAGCAATTGTCTTTTATTGATTCAAGTAGTACTTTAAATAAGGCTTGTGATGTCTCTCTCCGAGCCAAACATTCTCGAGAAAGATTTTTCTCTTAGCAATCATCAGAGTGACGATTTGTTTTCTTTAATACATTGTGATTTGTGGAGTCCGTATCGAGTCCCTGCCTTTTGTGGTGCTAGATATTTTTTGACAATTGTGGATGATTTTTCTCGTACTACTTGGATTTATTTGCTTGAAGATAAGCCCATTGTATCTGCCAAATTACGTGAATATTTTGCCAGGGTCTATAGGCAGTTTGGCAAATTGGTCAAAATTATTCGTACTGACAATGGTTCCAAATTACTTCTATGGCTGAGTATTTTCGTCAAAATGAAATTGTTCATGAAACCTCTTGTGTTGGCACCTCTCAACAAAACGGTCGTGTTGAACGCAAACACCACCATATTCTTAATGTAGCTCGTGCCTTACTTTTTCAAGCCAACTTGCCTATCGAGTTTTGGGGTAATTGTGTTTTGACTGTTGGTTATCTGATTAATCGCACACCTTCTTCAGTTTTACATGGTAAAACTCCGTTTGAGATTTTGTATGGCAAACCTCCTTCTTTACAACACTTGCATGTTTTTGGTTGCCTTTGTTATATTCATAACCAATCCAGGGGGGGTGATAAATTTGCTCCTCGGAGTGGTAAGTGTGTCTTTGTTGGTTATCCGGTTGGCAAGAAAGGGTGGTTGGTGTATGATCTTGAAATGCACAAATTCTTTGCGTCACGTAATGTGGTTTTTTGTGAGGATGAATTTCCATATATTTCTCCTTCTGTGCCCTCATCTACTCCGGCTGTGGACCAAGGTCCTTCCATTCTCATTGATGATAGTGACACTACTCCGGCTGAGGATGTGTCGGTTGTTTCTCGGTCTGATCCTGTCTCGCTTATCATTATTGTTTCTCCTTCATCTCCTGATGTTCTTTCTGGCAGCATGCGTGATGCACCCTCTTCCTCATCTTCAGAACTCTTGGGTCGTGGCCATCGTACCAAGTCTCTTCAACTCGTCTTCGTGACTTTGCTCGACATGTTGTGTGCACCGCTTCCCCCAACTACTGCTTCTCCTCCTCAGTCACAATCCTCAGGTACTCCTTATCCTATAACACAATTTATAAATTGTGTTTCTTTTTCACCTCACTATCAGGTTTTCTTGGCAGCGATCACTGCTGGTGTTGAGCCCACTACATTTCGCGACACAGTCAAAGATGCCAAATGGCGGTTTGCCATGCATGCTGAAATTCGTGCAATAGAAACTAATCACACCTGGGAGCTCACTTCTCTTCCTCATGGTAAACGGGCTATTGGCTGTAAGTAGATTTTGAAAATCAAATATCATGCTGATGGGTCCATTGAGCAACATAAGGCCCGTTTGGTCATTCTTGGTAACAATCAGGAAGAAGGGATTGATTACCAAAAGACCTTTGCTACCATTGCTAAAATGGTGACTGTTCGTACATTTTTGGCAGTTGCTGCTGCCAAGAATTGGGAGTTAGACCAGATGGATGTACATAATGCTTTTCTTTATGGTGATCTTCACGAAGAAATATATATGCAACTTCATCCTGGCTTTTGTTCTCGAGCTTCTGGTCAGGTATGATGTCTTCATCGCTCTCTGTATAGCCTTAAACAGGCTCCTCGCTGTTGGTTTGCCAAGTTGGCTTTTGCATTAAAGAAATATGGTTTTGTCCAGTCCACTGCTGACTATTCTTTGTTCACCCTTCACCATGGCACTGTCTGCCTCAGTCTTTTGGTGTATGTTGATGATCTTCTAATTGGTGGGAATGATCATATTGCTATCTCTCTTTTCAAAGATTATTTGAACAGTTATTTTCATATGAAAGATTTGGGGCTGCTTAAGTATTTTTTGGGCCTTGAGGGGGCTCATAATGCCTCTGGTATTTTTCTTTGTCAGCGCAAGTATGCGTTAGATATTCTTTCTGAGGTTGGTCTGTTAGGTGGAAAACCCTCTACGTTTCCTATGGAGCAAAATCATCATCTTTCGCTTGATAACTGTCTTCTGTTTTCTGATCCTGAACGTTATCGTCGTTTGATTAG